CCTTTGTTAATTTTCTCAGTCTTATTGGCAGAAAATTTTGGTTTTATTGTTTTTTTTTCACATCTTCAAAATCTTCAATTTTCTTAACCATTTCAGTAGGTGAAATGATGGTTGTCCATTCATCCATAAAACGTTCTTTGAAATCAGGAGAAGTACGCTTTTTAATTTGATCAACCAGCATGAGATCTTTTAGCTATTCAAAAGTTTTAATGTTTAATCCATTAAGCCATCCTTCTAAATAATTCTAAATTCATAGTAGAAATCATACCATGTACTTTCAGTAGATTTCTGGTGTTCATTAAATAGTTGTCGAAATTTTTCCGCACTCAATTTAAATCATTGTAACAATAAAGTTTTTACATATTCATACTTTTTCGCGTCCTCTTCTGGTTCTTCAGTGTCAGGAGGCAGCAATGAAATAAGTTAAGTCACTTGATTTTCAGCAGGTATATTCATAATTTTAGCTTGATGCTCAAATAACACCAAAAAAACCATATTTCATCTTCTTTAGGGTTGAAACGTGGCATGTCATCGTGAATTCTCATTTTTAAAGGCTGCTCAGGTAATTGCGTAGTTTCTGCCGGCTGTGCTCTTGCAGCCATAGCTTCCAATTAAAGTTTCTCTAACACAAACGCTTTTTTGCGTTCCTTTTCTCTTTCTTCTCTTTCTTCTTTTCTTTCTCTTTCGCGTTCCTTTTCCCTTTCTTCTCTTTCACATTCTCCTTTTTTCTCTCTTCTCTAATTACAGCCAGTAGTTCTCGAGTAAATTCCTCATCATAATCAGGATTTTCAGTAATCAATTTATGCAACTGAGCAATCTTAAATTCTGGTTTCATGGTTAAACCTAACTCTTCTGCTAGTACTTTTAAATCCTGTCTTTTACTCCTAGCTAAGAATGTTGAACAAGTTACCTTTAATAGGCTTCCTTTTGAAATTGAGTCTAAAAAATCTTACTTGTATTAGAAATATATAATTTCTGGCGTGACTTTAATTTGTTAAATACGAAATTCACACTAACCAATTGGAGAGAATTATTTAAACAACTTTGCCAAGTTGGCACAAAATGATATAATACTACGTCGGGTTGATGTTTTAACTTACTATTCACAAGTTCGTTAGCTATAACTATATAAACACCTTTGACAGTTAGGCAATACAGTGGAATTTTGCACACGTCAGTTTGAAGATTTTACTATCTATCTCCACGCCTGGTTGGTGATAACAAAAACAATTTTTGCAATATACAATCTGTAATATGTCTGGATGACGTTACTACACGCCTGGATGGCGAGAACTAAGAAAAAACTTTTGCCAATTCTGCAGTATAATCAAATCACACTACGTCAGTTTGACATTACTACTTATTTTCCTCGTGCCTGCTTGGCAACAAATTCAAAAATTCAGCTAGCAGTTCTTTTTTAATATAAATGCTGGGATGGCTTACACATATAAATTATCAACATAAAAATTCAATACAAATAACAGTAAAAGCTAAATAATAATTTAAAATACTTTTTTTACCACAAATATCAGTTATAATTTATGCCTAAAATTTTTAGTATCAGTTATTTTGCACAAAATCTTAAACTATTTAATTATAGTTTTGAAATGAAATACAGTCAAAAGTCGTTAATCCGGACTCGTCGGGACTTCGGCGATTCCGGATTATCGATTTCTCCGGATTATAGATCATCAGTTTAAATCTCGTAAGATGGCATGCAGAAATTCCAAAATTAAAAATATGAAACCGTAATTTATGAAATAAAGAACAATTATGATCTAAAGAGTATCAAAATTTACAAAAAAAAAAAAAAAAAGCTTAATATTTATTTGTTTACTTTATTAAACATTTCTTTCAATGTAAGTTGTTTATGTTGCTTCATTTTATGTGATAATACTTTCTCTTTAATTCTATAAACAGACATAATTTCTTGTTCAGTTACAAAGTTCCGCTGTTCAAGTCCCGTTAATTGCTGTGCCGAGAATACCGACTAACTTGTTAATCGAAATTTTTTCCGTTTTCACTAACCTCTCTGTCACATTCTTCATGTCTTTATCCTTTTTTTGCAGCAATTCCACTTTTTGTTTGTTGGACATCGAAACATACTTTCGTTTTGTAGATCCTTTGGAAGTTCCAGCATCGGAAATTCTATTTGACATAATCGAAAGTTCAAGTTTACTTTTATAAAATTGCTCTTACAGTCTGCAAAGAATAATAAGCGGGATCCAATTCGAAGATTAAGGAACAACGCAATCATTAACATTAAGTGAAATAGATAATTAGATAATTTTAGCTTACACCGTCCGTTATACATTAAACGCGCAGGCAAAAACGTATTCTGCACTTGCGCACACGCATATGCGCAGTAGTCAAGGTCTTACGCGCACGCGTAAAACGCCTGTGCGCATGTGCCAACGTGGCGCATGCGCAGAAAGTTTTTAGCTTTGAGGTCTGGATTATAGATCATTCCGGATTATGGGTGTCCGAATTAACGACTTTTGACTGTACAGTACAAAGTTTGTAATCCAGACATCCATTATCCAGAATGATCTATAACACGGACCTCAAAAGCCACAAACTTTGTGTGTGTGTGTGTCTGTGTGCTTTACACATGCACGTTGGGAGGATGTGTCTTCAGCTACGTTAAAAAATGCTTGCATAATTTATGGCCAGCTACCATATTTCATGGTGAGGACGATGAAGATGATAGCCGCGAATATGAAGGTTTTCGGCATCGCAAACTAAAAGTTAAATTTCCATTTATTGGATTTCGTAAAGAAATGTGGAAATGTGGTAATAAATGAAGATGATATAACAGAAGTTTTTCATTGTGACGACAGTGCCCCAATCATCTATCAATTAACGGACAACGAAATCTGTAGTATGGTTCTAGATTCGGAAAATACCGATTCCAGTAGGTGAAACTTTGTAACTAAACAAGAAATTATGTCTGTTTATAGAATTAAAGAGAAAGTATTAGCACAAAAAATGAAGAACAACTTACATTGAAAGAAATGTTTAATAAAGTAAACAAACAAATAAATATTAAGCTTTTTGTTTTGTAAATTTTGATACCCTTTAGATCATAATTGCTCTTTATTTCATAAATTGCAGTTTCATATTTTTGATTGTATAATTTCTGCATGCCATCTTACCAAATTTAAATTGATAATCTATAATCCGGAAAAACCCCTAATCCGGAATCGCCCGACGAGTCCAGATTACGGACTTTGTAGAGTACTTTAAATTCAATAAAAAAATTTTTATGAAACCAAAAGTTAATCTTGTCTTCAGAGATCAGCAATATCCTGTTCTGACAATTCTTTGCTCAGAGGCAAGTTATAAAAACACAGAAGATAACCGTTGAATGATCCGCTTCAAAATCTGGCTTTAATATGGCAGAATTCTGACATCCATTTCACCTTGAAATAAACAAACTCGGTAATCGGTACTAGCAAACTTGTTCTCAAAATTTCAGCAAAGTTCTGGGATTAGGAGACCAGCACCATCGAAATTGACAATTGCACTCCTAATTTCCAGTATCTCGGTGGAACCTCCAAATTTATAAGACTGTAATGTATTTTGCAGTAATTGTCAAAATAACAGATAATCTTCTTAGTAAAACACAAATTTTATTTTTACTTTATGAAGATAGATAATTTGAATAAAATTCTTTAGTGGCAAAATTTTCATACAACTACTAGCTGGTCAAACTTCAGAATTCTAATTTTTAAACAATTTCTTACGTTGCTGAGCAATAGTTACATCATACAAATATTGCATTGCCACTTAAATAATAAATATAGTTATTTGTTAAATAACAAAATATTTAATAACACTAGTATTTAACTTGCTACAGGGAGTGAAGGAATTTCTTTAGAACAGAAGTTCATAAACACAAGTTTTCTATGTGCTTGAGTAAAATAAAGTTTGGGCTCCATGAATGTGATCTACTAACTATTGTATTATTTCTACAAAGCTGATACAATAGATAAAATAATGAGTATGCAAATAAAATTGATATAAATTCAGTTTAATCTTATTACAACTGCAGAACATCTGAGTTTTTATGCCACTTATTAAACATAAATTAAAATTGAATTATATTGCAAACTAATATTTTTTACTTATGGTATAATTTGGAATTATTTGTTATAAAACATATATACGAGGGCCATCCAGGAAGTAGATTACGTTTCCGTCTGTGTCCGCTAGGGGCGGGGCTAGCGCGGCCATCTTGGGGTCAGAGCGTTGCGCAGCTCAGTCTGCATCTAGCCGTGCTAGTGAGAGGTTCGTGCTGTGCTCCGTTCAGATACTGTGACGGTTTGAAATGTCTGCGTTAATTGAAAATCCCGCAAGCTGCGAGGTGCGCTCAGTAATAAGGTTTCTGACTGCAAAAAACTGTAAACCAATAGAAATCTATCGGCAGCTTCGTGAAGTGTATGGGGACAACATTATCACTGAAGGTGGAGTGCGTCAGTGGGTCATAAGATTTCAAAATGGCCGAACCAATGTTCACGACGAAGATCGAAGTGGGAGACCCAGCATAGTGACCGCCGAACTTCTCGAAAAAGTCGATGCTAAAGTAAAGTCCGTGAAAATCGAAATTTCACAATAACGGAACTTTCTTTGAGTTTTCCACAAATTTCGCGAAGTTTGTTGCACGAAATCATCAGCAAAAAGCTTGGTTACCACAAGTTTTGTGCAAGATGGAAGGCAAGAAGAGGTAACGAAGTGGTTGAAGGTGCAGGCGGCCGAATTTTTCGACGAAGGAATTTCCAAGCTCGTACATCGCTACGATAAATGCCTTAATTTGTATGGTGACTATGTAGAAAAGTAGTATTCGAGTGTGGCTTTCATCTGTATATAATAAAATTTGTTTCCTATACTTTGTTTATTTTTTTATTCCAAAACGTAATCAATCTACTTTCTGGATAGCCCTCGTACTATCTTCGAATAATTTTATTGAAATTGAATTATTCTATTATTGAAATTTGTAGGTGATAGATGTTTGGATGAAATTAAAGTGGCATGATCAGTTTTATACTCATGGTGCTTTGATCGAAGTAAATTCTTCTCTTTTATTTGTAGTTGTGTAGCAGTTACTTAAAAATATATCTAATCCCTTGCCATTATTGAACCATGAATTTTTTTAATTGGTAAATTTTAAAAAGTGTACAACATGTAAGATCTCACTGACAAAATTTCAAATGCACTGCACTTTTTTTTTTGGGGGGGGGGTCTAAAATAAAACAAACTTTATACATATTAGCATTACAAAATTAGTTTTTATCTTTAAGTTTGGATTTAAATATGTTTCTCATAATTTGTTACCTTTTATATTTGAAGTTTTCAGAAATACATATGCCTTTTACGTATTAATACACTTGCATTAGTTTTTTTTTTTTTTTTCTCTCTCTCTCTCTCTCTCTTATATTGCATTACTACAGTTATTAGCATCTAGTATAACTATTGAAACTAAATTAAGCTAAAGAAATACACAACTAGAGATCCTTAAAGATATAGGGAAAATCTATCGTTCTCCTAATACAATTATTATGCAAATGAGTAAAATTGTAATTATGAAGAAGGGAAATTATTAATATTATTTTAAGACATAATTTATAAATTTTAGTTTTACTAAAGATGAAAGTGATTTTAATAAAATCTTATGTGTTAGAAACTATATTGATAATCTGAATATTTTTTGGCATTGATTTTGAAATTTTTAAGCTGCTTTAAACATTTTCTAGGTAGTACAATCCTGCATATTTGAATACATACAGGCTGTTTTAGAAAAAATTAAAGAGTGTAACTTCTATTCTAAAAAGCATCAATTTAAGATAAGTAAAAAGGTAAGAGATAATCTAATTACTATAATGATATCAGTAATTACTTAAGTAATCTTCTAAGTTCTTTCACCTTCTGACCTTTTAGATCTGTAATGAAGACCTGTATTTAAAGAGCCTTTATTAGCTAAATTTGTATATTTACTTATTGTAGTATCTATTTTCATAAACTTAAATTTGTTAAGATGGCATTATATAATTAATTAATATAATTAAGAAAGTAAGAGAGCAAAGTATCATAAATTATAATTTAATATGTACCGAGTGGCAAAAATTCTCGACCGGATAAAGCTGGTCATGATGCTTAGAGGTTAAATTACATCTAAATTTTACAGGTTTTTTTTCTTCTTTACTATATTAATATAATATCGGGTTTTAATGAAAGTTTCCCACCACCACACATATCATGTACGCAAACAGTTAGCAATGGCATGATTAATCACATTTTGTCAAGTGATTTTTGGCATTTGAAAGAAAGAAACTTAGTTTAGAATACTGTATTGTGAAATTTGTAAAAAAATATTTTTATCATAAAGTACAAGGTGTCTGAATTGGAACTATCCGGCTACCAGATTAGAACCTCCATTTACCTCTAGTTCTGTTGCAAAAAGTAAGCCACAGAATGCCACCAAATCATGTACCTAGCTTTAGGTACTAATGTTGTATCATATGACTCTGCGAAGGTTTAATACCAAAGGTTCAAAAACAAGAGCTATGACATTAAAGAAGCAGAGTGTTCTAGCAGGTGTACTGATGTTGATGAGGCCCACCTGCGAGAATTTTTGGAAGAAGATGAGTATGCAACCACTTGAGAGCTTGCTATGGAGTTGTTAGTAGCCATGTCCATTAGCTGCACTATGCATTGCCTAAACTTGACGTACAAGTTCAATTGCTGGGTGAGCTGACTCAAGCAGATAAACATGTTTGGGCCTATTATAATCTGCTCAAATATCAACACAAGGACAAAATTCTGGACCAGGATGTCACTTGTGATGAAAAGTGGATTTACTTCAACAACTCAGGTTAAAAAAGGTGTTGGTTTACGCCCGTGAGCCCATCGGCAGCATAGCAGAGTGAAATTTGATTCGCAAAAAGATCATGCTTTGTATCTGGTGGGATTGTCATGGTATTATCCACAAAGAGTATCTGGAAAATGGTAAAAACCTCCAGCAGTAAAATATACAATGAGATGCTACTCCATGTTCACAGTGCTATTAAGGGAAAATGTCGAACTGAATTGTGGCGCAAAAAGGTAATAATGCAAGACCACAAATGTGTGCATTAACCGACTGGTCTCTGCACCGACCTGAATGGAATCTTTTGCAATATCCCCATTATTGCTCCTTCGGACTTCTACTTTTTTTTACACCCACAGCTACATCTTGCTGATGCTCTCTTCCATTCTGCCCAGCGCATCCGAAATGAGGTTGATCTGTTTTTGGACTTGCGACCACCAAGTTTCTGAACCAAAGGCTTTAAAAAACTACCAAAGTATTGGCAGAAAATCATAGCTTTGGGTGCGTATTACTACCCACACTAAAGGTACTGCTTCATGTTTTTGTTTTTTTCCCTAACTTTATTTAAAACCTTTTTTGACAGAAAATTTTCTTTAGAACCAGATATTTATCCTGTTTTAGGTTTAACATGAATTTGTGAAATAAACTGATATCCTTTTCATACCAAATCAGCATGTCTACTCAGTTTCATAATCTATAACATATGACTTACATTTATTATTATTAATCATAAGTAATAAATACTATACTATAAGAACTATATTTGCATATAATAACTTTATTTACTAGCATTTAGTTAGTTAATTTATATAAAATTAATAATAAAACTGTTTTGTGAAAAAAATACAAGCTGTTCAACAAATTATTTCATTTTTATGATCCACCAGTGGCTGAGCGGTAAAGTTGATGAACACTGATAGTTCGGTCTGAGATTCAATTCCCATGAACTGCCTGACTGCACGGGCATTTTCGTGTTTTCCCCACGTGTAACGTTTACACGAGCTAGTTTCCATTAGAATGTCCTGCACAAAGACATCCTTCCTCATAGACCGATAGTCCTCAAGGCTTTGCCGTAATCACATACACAAAAAATTAAACCATTTCATTTTTATTTTGATATTTATGTATGCATATATACTATTTTAATAAATTTTCAATCATTTGCTGTATTTCTGACTCCCCCCCCATGATAAATTTCAAGTGTAAATTAAATAACCCCTTTTTAACTATTTCGTGTAAATTTTTTATATTACCTCCATAATCATTTGATAAAATTTCTTTTCATCTCTAACTAACATAGTTTATATATTTTTCTTGTCTTTAATAATATTATTTACATCTCTTTAGTCATCAGTCTGTGTACAGAACAGCAATCTAATTTTTGAACATCCATGGGCATCATAGTTTATTTTAAAAAAAAGGTGGTGATGAAGACAAAAGAACTAAAATATAATTTATTTAGCAAAATTTTCTTATTAAAATATCTGCAGCCTTAAAATGTTATGTTCAGTGCATTGAATACTGATTTTTCATTTAGCTATAATTGTGTTTCAATATATTCATTTAAAAAAAATCATGTATTTCTAACATGCATATTTTTGTTATAGCTCTGTGTAGTTCTTTGTAATGCATATGCATTATTTGAACACATCCACATCATTAAAAATAAAATAGAAGGTGTGTTAAAGGTTGCCAAGACTGAATATGGTTTTATCAATGTGAATCCTTTGGTAGCAGTTGAAAGTCAAATATTGAGTTCTATTGCCACAGTATATTTGTTAATTTTGGAACAGGAAAGTATTTGTAAATCAAATATTTTTTTACATTTTTATAGTGCTTTTAATTGCTTTAATAACAATGCAAACAATAATTTTTCTTTTTTCTCAGTAACATTTATAAATGAAAAAGACAATATAAAAGTTGGAAGTTAAATCCAAATAGTTCTGCAGCAGATACTAAGTATATGGCCTTAGAAACAATTTTTATTAAGATAATGCTTCAGATGTAAATGAAAATTATCTACAAAATGTATATAGTATAAATTATATGTATTTGTAATACATGTGTTTAGACATATTATTAAAGCATAATTAAATTGTAGGTGATTTCAACTGATGAACTAAGAAACATTGGTCACAGGTAGCCTGTAGGTTGACAGCTAGTTGTGGTCGATATATGTATGGGTATAAGTATAGAACAATGTATTATTATTTTAAATTAAACCAAAATGTATCACTGCCCCTCAAAGCTGTTGATCAGATTCCACATCATTCATGAGGGCTATGGAAATCAATCAATAAGTTACCAATGAGGTAAATATAGATAGATATTTAAATTCATTCCCAGCAAACTGATGCTTGTTCATATCTTCTAATACCTAATACTTTACTGTTTGGGTAACACTTGCCAAAACAGTAGATGGTAAATATATGGTAGCATAAACATAATCTAATATTCAGAAAATTTTGAAGCTGAGGATGTTTCTAGTATCAAAAAAGCTACTTAAATAAACCATTAACCATTAAAACTTATTACTTTGATATTACCATGATCTTTGAATCTGTAAAAGTTAAATGAAAATTGTATCAAATCTTGCCTTATATACTCTCAAACAGATTTACTAATCTTTATGCGATTCCCAAATTCCATAAAGCACCATTAAAATTCAGATTTATAGCTAATGGAACTAATAATTACAAGAAAAATGTAGACTATTATTTTTCAATTCAGCTTAATAAATCTGTAAATTTATTTTCAATGATTGTAACACTAATCATAACTATTGCTGGATCATTCATAATAACACTCCTGTCATTAATACCATTCAAACCATTAACATCCAAAACATTAACTGCTATGACTTTGAAAACTTATATACCTCACTTCCTCTAGAAGAAATCTATACCAGTCTACTTGATCTGCCCTGATATGCTCAATATCATGACTCTTGACAAATGGAAAACCTACCTAAAATGCACACTTTTTCAAAACTACATCAAGTTTCAAAATCAACTTTTTAAACAAGTCAGAGGATTGCCAATGGGCTTACATTCCAGCACCTCGATCTGTAATATCTTTTTTATTTGTCAAAGAATTTAACTTCCAAAAAAATCTACAACCACAAATTAAAGTTAAATTACTACAAACACACCTACAGATATATTGATGACCTTATTACAATTAATAATTTTGGTAAAATTGAACACTCCGAGATTTATCCGAATTGTCTTACACTTAATAAAACTAATAATTCACAAAATAGCATAGACTTTCTAGATCTTCAAATCATTAACTACAAAAAAATTTTACTTTTTGACAAAACAAGGAACTTCAATTTCAATACTAACAAATTAATAAATTGGAACTCCAACATATCCAAAAAAGTAATTAACAATACTATAATTAATCAAATACAACGAATTAAAACTATATGATATATGCACAGATACAATAGATTTACAACGCGAAATTTTGCTCCTTATTAAAATTCTCAAAAATAATCTAATTCCCATTCAATTTATCAACCATTGCCTTAAAAGAGCAGGCGTTAAATACTCACTCTAAATCATTTAACTAATAGGGATATGATAATTTGTTCCTAAACCTGAGAAGGCGGTATAAGTTCGATGACTGTCAGTTGAAAGATTTGTATATAGTGTAATTACTCAATTGTATATATTGTAAAAAGCTAATTGTCTTCAGACTTATACTGTTACTAAAAAAATGGGCCTATTTCATGACTCTAGTCTGTCTAATAGCTCTTGGACAGTGAAAATTCCTTTTTCCTTTCTTAAATTCTTAATCATTGCGACACGACAATTAGCCAGAAATTAATTAATTTCCATTCACTAGTATTTTCAAAAAAATCTTAACAGACAGTCTCACTCAAATAAGAACTCCACATAATACATCCTTCAAGAATTCCAAGTCCCACCCACTACCATAAATTTCTTCACCCAAGTCTTACCGACTGATATTATTCAAAGCCCCCACTGCCGCTAAGAATTTTCGGACACCCTACACTTATGAGTCAGACACGAAGAGAACACTTTGCCAACTTCCCCACTAGAAAGAATGTAAGTTACTTAATACCTTTTCTGGCCTTTATATCTTCATGTACATTCACTGTTCTTATTATATATTATTTTTTATATTATTTTTATATTGTCTTTGATTTGTTTTTACAAAGTTTGCATTATTTATCTTATTTTGTAATCTTCTGTTTATTTCAACTTTACTTTGAATTCGGTTTCATAATGACAATTTCCAATGTTTAATTTTTACTAATAATATAGAACTCAAATGCATAAACATGAAAGTGTCGGGGACGGTTACTCGGGTTAATTAGGATTTCTCTACAGTAATTGCTGTTTACTCTAAATTGAATTGACTAAAATGCTTCATAAGAATAAGTTCTTTGAGTATCAGCATTGGTTCATAATCCCTTCTATTCGCGGAAATATTTGGCCTGACTAGAATTGCCGGTTTGACTTTAACTTATAACTCGAGTAAAGACGAAACACTTTCGTATTTACATATTTTTATCAATTATTGTTCATTGAACGGGAGTTGGTTTGTTCCCCTTGAAAAGTCAACTAATTTCCGATCAATGACAAATGACAATTTCCGATTACATGTTTTTAATTTTTTTAAGGGGCGTAGCTAAAGGGGGGCATCTGTCCCCGGGCACAGAATCCAAGGGGCGCCAAAGTGATGTTATGGCATTTTAGAATTAAATGTTTTCCATCCTCAAGCAGTAGGGCGCGAAATCTTCAGTTCCTGGGCGCTGAAAACCCTATACCTCTGCAAAGAACGTCTATATATATACACTATACACACATAGTATATATACTATATACATAGTATATACTATGTTTAACTATATATTTTCTTTGAATGACCCGTTAACTACTCATCGTATATGTCCCGTTTTCACTGCTCATCATAAAGTCGCCAAAAGTAGCCAAATCCCGTGTGCACCGAATACTAGGATTAAACCAATAACGGCCCGCTTCTCTATTTCCATCTTTTTCAGCTTTCTCAACTACCTTGAGTTTAACTCAGCAGTAAAAACTCCGGCGATGTTTCATCAACGTTATCGAAGATGAAAGACAAAATACGAAAACAAAATAAAATACTGTGCAACGTGCTATCCTCGTGATAAGTGGTAATGAAATGTGACCTTCGACCCCACTCACTCGGTGTTGCCAAACCACGCTATAAGTAAACGAATCACGCTTTTTTTTTCGTACTCCAGGTACTTGCTACTATGGCTCCTAAAAACCGAGCTGACGCATCAACTTACTTTTCCCCCTCCCGGCAGTTGCGCTAAAGCAGTGCGAAGGATACTGGGATACAAGACTCTGGTTGCGCTAAGTGAGTGCTCATACAAGACTTTCTTTGGCTCATATCCCGGCATCGCTTGATGCGCCAGCCTGGATTTTAGGAGCTCTACTTGCTACTACTCATTCGTTCTGCACTATGCTCTATGGTTTACTATCGATACGATACATACGAATGTTTTCTTGGAATCTCGCGCTTTTTTTTATATTTGATCATCGGCAGTTCACGACAGCGTGTTTTTTAAATTTCAACGATTTTAACCGTGAACAACCAGCGTATTATCCGCACTGGTGGATAGTCCGCAGCTTCAAAAATTCGCATTTTAAACACAGATAGTCCGCGGACTATACGCGTGAAATCGTGGACAAAACACCATTTAAAATTTAATAAACAATGTTGCTTTTTCAGTTGTGATGCCAACTGCAAAAGTTAGGAAATTTTGATAGGGATCAAACCATGCGAGCACCAAGTCTTAATTAGCATTTTGCAATAGATTGAGTGAAAAGCAATTTATGCAGTAAAATTTATAAATTACTTGAGTAATTGTCTCCTGACACCCTCGTGTTTATGCATTTTAATTCAAATCTATTTGTAAAAAATTAAACATTGGAAATTGGAATTATGAAATATAACTCAAAGTAATTGAAATAAACATTAGAAAGTTAAGAAATATAAGAAAAATAATGCTATCTTTGCAAAAACAAATCAAATAATAAAAAATTGAAAATTAACATATATATAATAAGAAAAGGAAATGTACGTGAAGATATAAAAGGCCAGAAAAAGCATTAACTTATGTTCTTTCTAGTGGGAAGTGGGCAAAGTGTTCTCTTCGGTGTCTTACTCAGAAGGGTTGTGTGACCGAAATTCTTTATTGGCAGCAGGGGCTTTGAATTATTTCAGGTGGTGAAACTTGTAAGAAGTAATTTATGGGATAGGGAGGGACTAGAGGGACGTTTGTTGTGGAGTTCTTATGTGAGTGAAAACGTCTGTTAAAATTTTGAATATACTAGTGAACGGAGATGAATTAATTTCTGGCTAATTGTCGTGTTGGAACGAGGAAGAAAAGGAAAAAAGGAATTTTTACTGTCAAAGAGCTATTTGACAGACTAAAGATTATGAAATAGGCTCATTCTTTATTGGCAGCAGGGGCTTTGAATTATTTCAGGTGGTGAAACTTGTAAGAAGTAATTTATGTTACGTGGGAGGGACTAGAATGTTTGAGGAACGTTTGTTGCGGAGTTCTTATGTGAGTGAAAACGTCTGTTAAAATTTTTTGAATATACTAACTGAACGTGAGATGAAAATTAATTAATTTCTGGCTAATTGTCGTGTCGGAACGAGGAAGAAAATTAGAAAAGGAAAAAAGTAATTTTTACTGTCAACGAGCTATCTGACAGACTAAAGATTATGAAATAGGCTCATTTTTTTTTAGTAACAGCATAAGAAAAGTCTGAAAACAATTAGCTTTTACATTATATACAGCTTTTGTAATTACACTATGTACAAATCCTTCAACTTATAGTCATCCAACTTATACCGCCTTCTCAGGTTTAGGAACAAATTATCATATCCCTATCAGTTAAATGATTTAGAGTGAGTATTTAACGCCTGATCTTTTAAGGCAATGGTTAATAAATTGATTAGGTATAAGATTATTTTTGAGAATTTTAATAATTAAACTTACTACCTATGGGTTTACTCTTTTTAGATACTTCTACTAAAATTAATATTAGGAGATAATATAATCAATATTTTCTTTAGTAAATAAATTATTATTATCTTACTTTGAAGCTATTGCACAAGTATTAGAATAACTTGATTTCGAATTAAGTGAATTTAAAACCATGCAGCATATATATATATATATATGAAACCAGAAATACCAAAAGTTAATTTTTGCCCTTGATCTACTTCTCATTTTAAAGTTGAATTTAAATAAATACTTGCATGTTTGAGGATGTGTCCTGTATTTTTTCTTATATAAGCTGTTAATATCCATTTAAAATCAACCAACCAGTATTTTTAAATATTAGTGTCATATGCTCATTCTTTTATTTAATTTTGAATTGTTAGAATCATCATAAAACTTGCAAATTATACTAAATTTTAAATGCCAGATTGAGGGTTTTATCTCTATATATTATTTTAACAAAATTTACTTAAAATTCCTCTTATATTTAAAATATAACTAGTGCATCTTTGTATAAGATTTTCTTTAAGTATATAAAAGTTTAATATAGCAAGAAAATATAGTCCCATATTTTATAAGAATTTTTCCAACTTAAATACTTATTTAATAATGTTTATTTAAACTGCTTATGTTATTTATTTAGCAATATATTTAACATATTTGCATGATTTCCATGGGAGCAAAATATACCAACATAAAATTATAGAAGGAAACAAGCCGAGACTGGTATAGATTTTGAGCCCCTCTTCTTCAGAGAGAATCCTCTCCCTTTCCTCCTGAAAAAGGGAAACTGGATTGCATCAAGTGGCTTACAAGTCACATGAGCCAAACTATGTAATCTTATACACATACATGGGTATTTTTAAGAGTGAAAAGTTTTAAAATGGAAATTTGATTAAAGGCTGGAAGAATCTTTTTACAAAATCTTTTTCATATTTTAAATTACTTTGGAAAAGCATTTCATGTTTTCATCAAATAAAGGCTTTAAAATATTAAATTATTGCAAAAGCGTATTTTTGAAATTGCAAAAATATTTTTTCCACTTTTCTAAAATTTATTTTTGATCTTTTCAAAACATGTTGTGTATTTAAAACATGAAGATATAAGTGTATATATTCTAATTTAGTGCATACAATATGCTTTTGATAACATTTTACAATTTGTGCTTTTGCTTTTATATAGGTCAGTAAAAAACTAAGAAAACTTACAAATAACTTTATGAAAGTTAAAATTGGTAATACTTTTCATCTAGATGTGAGTATTTATGCTTAAAAATACATTTTTCCTTTATAGGTATTTCTTAATATTCTTGTAAACTTTAAAAAAATACACTATATAGAAATATGCATTTATCTTGTAACTTTTTTTTTTTTTTTTTTTTTTTTCATTTACATAAAATTTAAAGTAGTAATATCATTTTTTTATCAAATATGCTAATTTTTATAGTGAAAACACATTATATTGCCAATTTTAGAATGGTATAAAAATATTTTATGAAGCAATGAATTTTCTTTATTAGTACATTGAATAATTTTTAATGTGTTACCAAAGTAAATACATTAGCATGAAATCTTTTACAGTACAAATCAGGTATGCTGTTTGTAATATCAGTCTCAGTGGAAAATAATGAGCAATCATAGCTATTCTGATGAAGAGTGGCAGTTTGGGGACAATAATACTTCGCACAACTAAAAATCCTACACTTCTGTCTCACATTTAGATCATTGAACTGGTATATGTGTATATACATAATAATCTCATCTGTTAAGTATTGACTACATGTTCAAACTGATATCTATTAGCATTTTGTTATACGTTTCACCTACAGTTTGTGCATAAATATGTCTATATACATAATAATCTCATCTGTTAAGTATTGACTACATGTTCAGACTGATATCTATTAGCATTTTGTTATACGTTTCACCTACAGTTTGTGCATAAAGACCTAGGATCCACTAAAGAGGGCCATATAAACAAACATGTCATCTCAAACAAACACAGAATCTGTTGTAACAGTTTATTTAACAAATGTCACTAAAATAACAGTTGTGTTCTTGCTTGTTTGATTTCATGCTGGATAACATTCTGAATCATTTTTAAGCAATACCTAGACTTGCCTATGACAACTGATGTAAAGACTTCCATATTCAGTTTAATTACTTGTGTAAACCTGTGAAAAGATGGAGAGAAATCTTTAAATTACTGATTGCCTAATCTAAAGGCTTCTGTTCAGAAGTCTTCTTCTAAGCCAGTAGAAATTGATCTGTTACTACCAATATTGTCGCAAGAGATAATCCAAGTACATATTCTGCTCCTTTACTACATTTATATAATGGTAATAACTAAGAAAAAGATTTTAATGTGCAATATTACTGTCAAGAAAGGGAGAAAAGGTGCTGTAAATGTGCATTAAAAGGTTACATTAAATTCAGATCTAAAATAATTATATTAACTTACTTATTCTTGAATAAATTAACACTATAGTATACAATACATGCTTAATCTTGAAGTCTCAGGTTCTTGATGCAAGCTAGCCCAGCCACTAATTAATTAGTCCTCTTACATATGAAAATGAAAACATATGCAGAAACATATGTATTGAATATATTATTTTATTCTGTTTTTTGATGCTTTTAATTAATCACAATATTTGTACTTCAAATAGTACTTGAAGAATTAGACTATTAATTTTAGTGAATTCTTTGCAGTAATACTAAGATCAGCTTAATATAGAAAAATTTTTCAGCAAAAATCTCTTTGAGTTAAACTGGGGTATGTTTCTTTTATGCTATGAATTGGAGCAACTTGCTACCACTAAGTCTGAGATGTTGAGAATACTGTTGGTCTTTTGAATTCTTACATTCTATAGAAGAGGGCAACTTTTGGCTGATATTGTATAGGGTTCTATGGTTTTGGTAGAAAGGCAAAGCTTTTGTTTCCCTGTGAGTTTTTTCTGTATTACCTTGGGAAATATTAAGGTTATAATAATAGTCATATAAGAGGTAAAATGTGCTGAATTATCAGAAATGGGGGAGAAATTATAAAATATGTTATTGCTTTATCTATATTATAAAATAATCATCTATATTAATAAAAGAATACCATTTATATAGTTTAAAATATAGCAGTTGTATTTTTTTTAAACTACTGCACCTTCAAATTATTATTACAAAGTGCTGCACATTAAAATCCAAAATCTATGGCAGTATCTGTTTTTACTTATTAACAAATAAACTCCCCAAAAAAGAAGAAGATGAAAATCTAAAAGAGAATTTAATTCCATGTTTGTTTTCAGTGGCTGTAAAAAAGGGTAATTTTATTTTTGGAAGGATGCATGATGAGTATACAGGATGCTTCTAATGCCTATAACTAAGGAAGTTTCCATTGCTTAAAGGATCTAGACAATAGTTTCTAAAAAAATACGCTTTTACATACTTGCTAACCTACAACAGTCAAAAATCAGGAGAATTTTCGTAATGACAAAAATATTTTTAATGATAAAACTACATAAAAAGAAAATGTATTTTTTCACAATGAATTAACTTTAAATAGTAACTACTTAATGTCTGAAAGTTCAGTTACTAATTCTTAAATGCAAGTAGTTTAATTAGTTGAGGATTCTAAATAAACATTTCTCTAAAGATAACCAGCATGTACAATTTTCAGTTGCTAACGGCATAATTTGCAAATCTGATTTTTTTTTTTTTTTTTTTTAAATACCTGCAACACCAGACTTCAAACTTGCCATTACTGGTGCATTGTTGTCACCACGTGCTTAATTAATTATCCAGAGGAATTGCATTTTCTTTCAAAGTCAATAATTAGCTGTGCTGTATTAAAGCTTCTTCTTAAGTGGAGACAGAAAGTAAACTATGCTCAATTTCTGAAAACTCCGAATTTACGAGGGCTATCCAGAAAGTAGATTACGTTTTGGAATAAAAAAATAAACAAAGTATAGGAAACAAATTTTATTATATACAGATGAAAGCCACACTCAAATACTACTTTTCTACATAGTCACCATACAAATTAAGGCATTTATCGTAGCGATGTACGAGCTTGGAAATTCCTTCGTCGAAAAATTCGGCCGCCTGCGCCTTCAACCACTTCGTTACCTCTTCTTGCAGCTGTGCGTCGTCATCAAAACGCTGCATAGCCAGCCACTTCTTCATTGCTGGGAATAGGTGGAAGTCGCTCGGTGCCAGGTCGGGACTGTACGGCGGATGAGGAGGAAACAACTCCCACTTAAAAGATTCAAGAACTTTACGAGTGACATTTGCCGTGTGGGGCCGGGCGTTGTCGTGAATCAACAAGATCTTAGAGCTCAACATTCCTCTGCGCTTGTTTTGAATTGCTCTTCTGAGTTTTTGGAGAGTTTGGCAATACCTTTGAGAGTTTATTGTAGTGCCTCTTTCCAGGAAGTCCACCAAAATTACACCTTTTCTGTCCCAAAAAACAGTCGCCATCATCTTCCTTGCCGACATTGTTTGCATGCATTTCTTGGGTTTTTGGGGGGAGAACTTGTGTGCCCCCACTGCATTGATTGCAATTTCGTTTCACAGTTCACATGTTTCACCCATGTTTCGTCACCAGTAACGATGCGATCGAGTAAAGAGTCACCATCCTTATGGTAAGCGTCCAAAAAGTTCAACGCTGCAGCCATTCGCTGATTTTTGTGGTCCTCTGTCAAGATTTTTGGAATCCATCTTGCACAAAACTTGTGGTAACCAAGCTTTTCGCTGATGATTTCGTGCAACAAACTTCGCGAAATTTGTGGAAAACTCAAAGAAAGTTCCGTTATTGTGAAATTTCGATTTTCACGGACTTTAGCATCGACTTTTTCGAGAAGTTCGGCGGTCACTATGCTGGGTCTCCCACTTCGATCTTCGTCGTGAACATTGGTTCGGCCATTTTGAAATCTTATGACCCACTGACGCACTCCACCTTCAGTGATAATGTTGTCCCCATACACTTCACGAAGCTGCCGATAGATTTCTATCGGTTTACAGTTTTTTGCAGTCAGAAACCTTATTACTGAGCGCACCTCGCAGCTCGCGGGATTTTCAATTAACGCAGACATTTCAAACCGTCACAGTATCTGAACGGAGCACAGCACGAACCTCTCACTAGCACGGCTAGATGCAGACTGAGCTGCGCAACGCTCTGACCCCAAGATGGCCGCGCTAGCCGCTAGCCCCGCCCCTAGCGGACACAGACGGAAACGTAATCTACTTCCTGGATGGCCCTCGTAAAAAAAAAAAAAAAAAAAAAAAATAGATAGTTTTGCATCAGTGTTAGTGCTTCCATCCAGAAGAGAGGTAGAATGGAGCTGTTTTAATGCAATCAATAACCGAAGATTTTTTTTTTCACACCCATTTCTTTAACAATTGCATCCAGTTTTGTTCTTTGGGTATTTCTTAGCAATTTCGCTATCGAGTAACATTTTTCTAAATAAAGCTGTAGCATGATTTGATGTATTCAGTGGCAGGTTTGTGCTCTAGTGAAAAGACAAAGAACAGGCATCCTGCATCAATAACTTTTTTGTCCTTTGTTTCCATATTATTTATTTGTTTTGTTTTTTCAATACAACTGACATGTCCTTGTGCTTTTATGTATGCATAGATTTGAAAATAATCAGCCGTTCCACCATGCAATATCAAAAAATTGCAATGATAAACGGTGAACATTGCAAATAAATTACTTAATGAAATAATAGAAAGGTACAAAGTCATCTGTCATCTGTGTATATACAAAGTCATCATACAAAGTCATCTGTGTATGATTTTTGAGAGGTACATGAATATTTTACCCTTTTTTCAAAATCACAATTTCTTAAAATATTTCTTTTAGATTAAAATTTTTTCATAAGTTTCCTTAAAAGATTTTTTTTCTCCTGCTCAATATAATGGTGCAAATAGTAAAATTCTAAGATTTCTAGTTTGTACGCTAAATGAAGATAAGTACAAAAATCATTTCAACATTAAATTTGAAAAAGATCAAAATCAAATTTTGAAAAAAAATCACTCCACTATATAGGACTATCATCAACAGTGTGTCTTCAAAATTTGCATTCAATGATTCATCAGGAAATAGTTTAAAAATCACTTTAAATTTTTTACCATAGCAGCATGCACAATGAGGGCATCTAAGAAAGTCAAGCATGCTCTCAATATGCTTGACTTTTAAATGTTATGCATAGCCACAGTGTACAACAAATCTTAATTAGGACAGAAGTGGTTTAACTGTCCTGATAGTTTCAAATGCCAGTCTTACTTTCGATAAAATCAAAGGACAGTGAGAAGACAATCTGAGTCTTTTATATTCTAATATAAAAGACAGTCAGATTGTCATCTTATCCACAATGCCATTGCTTATCCACAATAACAGAGTACTGATGTAGATGAAACTATAATTGTTGATATGTGTATCATATATAGGTTACTTTCTTGAACCTTTGAATGCTGGTATGCTTACCGCATATAAATTTATTGCTTATGCACTGTATCCCATTTTGGCTAGTGAATCCATCCTAGTTTTTGCACAGTGTGAAAAAAATTTCTATTAAAATTTATAATCTTTAGATCATCGATCAAATGTAAAATATTATTAAAATTTTGTTTTCTACAAGTGAATATGTCAAACTTAACATTTTATTTATTGCCTACATTGCAGACAACAGATGAATTATGTTCTTATGCTGAATATACACTGGAAGTGTTGTATTTAAATTTAAAACCTGAGCTATTTTATATTCTCCTGCCACATATGTGGATAACAGTTTTAGAAAATCTCAAGAATGGATTGAAATATAAGGTAATATTGGCATAATATACAAAGTCATGTCAACTTTAGGCTACAGTATAATTAATATTAAATTTTTTTTAGTTGTGTAATCATACAGAGGCAATATTTTTAAGTACTAAATATTAGATTATTGGATATTACCATAAAAAGTATTTTTAATGATATTTAAAAGTTTGGGAACTAAATTGAAATAATGGCTGTATAAGAGTTTAAAGCTGCTTTGAGACTTCATGTTCACGATGAAATAATGCATATAGGTTCAGTATAATTAAAAGTATATATATAATTTTTATCACAAATTCTTTCAATTAATTTCATCACAAGTTTCATTTCTCTTCACAAACTAGGGTTTTACTGCTTTGACGATGAGAAAAAAGACTAAATTTGCAATTACTTCACAAGCATTAAATGAATTACAAATTATTTTCCACTGTGATGGTCATGGTCTTTCTCATAAGCAACTGCAAAATAAGGTATATAAGGTATGTGAAAAATCATCTTGAATGAAATAATTTTCAAGTTATAACTAAAAATATTTTCCAATTAAAGTTGAGTAAAGAAGGTTCATTTACAGTTACATAAAATTTTTAACAATTAAAATAATAAAAATAACATTTCAAACCAAAATATTTCTCTATAAGTAAATAATCCAGGGCAATGTGATTATTTTCATACAAGTAATTACCTATTTATTACCCGAGTTTTCTTCCCCAAATATTTGAATTGTCATAATCTCAATATATTTTCCTGAAAATTCAAAATATTCATTTCCAGAACAACAGTTACAGTAATTTAAAATTGGAAAGAATGGTATAGTCTTACACTAAAAATAATAATATAAATTGTATTTTCCTCAAATTTATTAGGGTGAAATAGTTGTCTCGTTATTTTTCCATAACCTACTTCTCCATATTTCACTTGTTAGAGCCACCTAAACATTATATGTCTGACTCATTATAAAAATATAAAAGGAGTAAATAAATATAAAGAGTTTCGTGAACAGCAGCTCTTAATGAGAACTTAATTAACAACTCATTTTAGAATGTAAAAATAGATTAAAAACCTAATTCAATCTTGAATGATCATTTTCTTACATTACAGCATTTAACTTTTTTTTTTTTTTAATAACAAAATGTATTCTGTAGCATCTGAGAAACAAATATTCCAATCTTTTGAAACACAGTATTTTGTATGTTAATACAAATCATGAGTGTAAAAATAAATCATTTCTAAGTTATACAAGATTCTTTAGAATATAAGAGTTCTTGTTTAACACTTTTAATAACTCAATAAATTCATATATCATAATATGGTATATACGTACTTTCGCAACCATCTTGGTACACTTTGGCAATTTTTTATGGATGAAAATGTAAAAGTTAATTAGCATGTGCAAGTTGGTGGTTTTCACACCTTTTTTTTTTTTTTTTTTTTTTTTTTTTTAAGATTCTCAAAATATTTATATTTATAGGAAGTTTGGTAAACAGTATTAGCATAGGAAAAGAAAATATACTTTAGCAATTTAAACAAACTTGAATTATTAAATAAGAATTAAGTTATACAATAAAAAATAAAATGCATTATTCTTTGAAGAATAAAATGACGTCTTCCACACACATGACAAACATTTATTTAAACTACGAAGACGTTGAACAGCAGAGTAGAAACATGATATTACACAGCGCTTAGCACTTTTCGCTTACATGCAATACTCATTGACTTTGGCTAACTTTGAGATTGTGTTCTACTGTGTAGGCTAAAACTGTTCTCCTGGAACTTAATCTAGCAACAGGGGAAACGTTTTCAGTGAAATCAAGACCAGGGATTTGAGTGCACCCTTTAGGAACTAGCCTAGCTTTGTATTTTTCGATAGTGCCGTCGTGATTATATTTTAATTTAAGAACCCATTTGCTACCAATAACTTTCTTGTTTTCAGGTCTGTTTACTAATTCCCAAGCCTTTTCTTGAACAAGCGAGTTATATTCTAACAGCATGGCATTATGCCAATTTTCAGCATATGGTCCATTTAATGCTTCTTGCACCGTAGGATTAATGCTTTCCTCAACAACATTTTGAGTTTGTTCATTTTTATTTACAACTGTATAGTGATATTCCTTTTTAGGCCTTCCTGGCAAACCTGTTTTTAGTTTCTGGGTCGACCAGGCCCCCTTTTAATCAGGATAGGTTGCATTGATTCGCTATCTAAATCACTTCCGCTTTCCGGTTCAGCTTCAGATTTAAGTGGCGACTCGCTACCGTCCAGAGGTGATGATTTTTCACAACATGTTTTATTTATAATTTTTCCCTCCGGAGCGAAAGGCAGATTATTACAGCAGTTTTCAAACTCATTAATGAATTTTACATCTCTGCTTATTATCACTTTACATGCCTCGGGATCCCAAAGTCTATACGCTTTTGATTCATCAGAATAGCCAATAAAAATACATTCTTTAGATCGAATATCAAATTTGCCTATTCTTGGCCTTTTATTTAGAGAAAATGCTTTTTGGCCAAAGGTTCTGAAGTGAGAGACAGCAGGTACTCTGCCAAACATCACTTCATAAGGTGTTTTTATTTCGTGTTTTAAACCTCGCGTTGGGCAGCGATTTCGAATGTAAGCAGTGGTATTGACGGCTTCGGCCCAGAATTTCTGAGGCAGATTGGATTGCAATAACAAACATCGCGCCATTGAAACCAAAGTGCGAATTAATCTTTCGGCGACGCCATTCTGGGCTGGCGTGTAAGGAGTGCTCATGTTTTATTCCCGCATTATTAAGAAATTTATTAAAGTCTTTCCCTAAATATTCTAGCCCGTTATCGGTTCGCAGGATTCTGATTTTAGAGTTAAGTTTATTTTCAAAAGATGCTTTAAAATTTCTGAAAGCTTCTTTAACCTCATCCTTAGATTTCAGAAAATAAACACGAACATATCGAGATCATCGATAAATGTTGCGAAATAAAATGATCCACCGATTGATTCAGTTCTCATGGGACCACACAAATCAGAATGAATTAGATTCAACAATTCAGTACTTCTATATTCAGATTCTTTTGGAAGAGGGGTTTCGGTTTGTTTACCCTGAATGCATACCTTACAAGTAGAAAGAGAGTCATTTTGAGAAAAAGAAAGATCTCTAATCATGTTATTTATTTGAAGTTTTTTAAGACCATTTTCATTTAAATGGCCAAATCTTATATGCCACTGATCTATTTCTTTAGCAATTGATACAGATTCAAATATTGGCATGACAAAATAAAGATCATTTTCGCGTTTAGCTAAAATTACTGTTTCGTTATTAGAATTAATTATTTGAGAACATTTTTCTTTGAAAATTACTGAAAGTTTATTTTCAGTTACTTTAGACACTGAGATTAAATTATTTTTCAAATCAGGTACACACAATACATTTTTGAGTTTGATATTTTCAGTTTTAGAACCTATGCAAACTTTAAATTTAACAGTTCCTTTTCCAATAGCTTTAACAGTTTTATCAGCAGCTAATTTAACATAAATATCACCTACCTCGTGAATTTCCTGAAACAGTTCCCTTGCTGTTACACATATGCGATGTTGCACCACTATCCAGACAAAAAATGTCTTTAGAATTACTATTAGTGCATGCTACGGCTTTTTCTCGCTCCAAGGAATTCCAAATTTCTGCAGACATCGCAGTTTCACTGAGGCGTTTGCTTTTAGTTTCTTTATTTTTCTTCCTACATTCCGATGCTCTATGCCCATAGATATGGCAGAAGTTGCATCTGTAGTTAACTGGATACTGTCTTCGGTTTGCAGACTTATCTGGTTTCAGTTTAGGAACCAGTTGCTGAGTATACTCCCGATCTTTTGAATAGAACGCATGTTGTGGTTCAGAAAACGATGAATCTTTATTTTTGCGAGCGTTAGCTTCTTCCAACAGTTTAATTTTCAGCATTTCTGGAGAAGGCAGTTCATCACGAGATTCGATTGCTATTCGAAAGCTTTCATAAGAGTCCGGTATGCTATATAAAAGCAATATTGTAAGCAAATCATCCGCAATGTTTATTTCCATTTCTTTAAGTTTGTCCACAAGAATGAAAAAATCATTTAGATGAACAGTCATTTGTTTAGAATCACTCATTTTTGTAAAAAGCAATTTTGTTAGAATTGTGGCCTTTCTAGCTGGTCCCTTCGATTCGTAAATAGAATGCAATTTACGCCACAGTTCGTGAGATGTTACACAATTCTTTACTTGTGGAAGTTCACTGGGTAAGATGGATAGAATTATATCCACTCGTGCTTTTTGGTCAGTAGTTTTCCATTTAGCAAATTCTTCATCACCAGGTTCTGGTTTCGGAATTTTCCCAGTTACATAGTCCCAATGATCATTTTTAATCAGTATTGCTTCCATTTGCAACTTCCACGTATCAAAGTTGTCCTTGTTTAGCTTTTCAATTGACACTGTATTAGTCGTCGCCATTTTCATTTCAGTCGACGCAGCTTGGCTTGCCGAAATTTAACAATGGTAGTTGCGCTGCACAGTTAAGCGCTACCTGGGCCCATAACCTATGAAGAATAAAATGACGTCTTCGATATACATGACAAACATTTATTTTAACTATGAAGACGTTGAACAGCAGAGTAGAAACATGATATTACACAGTGCTTTGCACTTCTCTCTATCATGCAATACTCACCATTGACTTTTGCTAACTACCTATTAACTAAGTATAAGTGTTACGCAGCAGAGAACTCGCTTATCATGCGCATGCGCTAGGGAAATCAACGGCGGTTGCCAACATTCTTCAAATATTTCTGTGCCTCCCCCATTATTATTCTTCCAAAGTAGACAGCAACCAGTTTTCACAAACACGCACAAAAAAACACAGAATTGTGGAGACTCGGCTTCAGGCAACCTTCAGCATCAGCTGCTATCTATAAACACATTGCCTCATTGTTCCTGGTGTTTAAGGTTTGCTAACAACTGTAGAACCAATCCACCATTACGAAAATCAAACCGGAACATCAGCATAGTGAAAGTTTCTAGTCAAACCGGAACATCCCGGCCCCCATTGGACGATTGTCCAACATCATTTGGAAATGGGAGTGGACTGATATTGGAGACGGCTCGGCGAAAGATTCCATCTGAAGTTCTGACGTCTATGACTCGTACTAGTCCATCTGGACCAGGAAAGGTCTCCTCGATGCGAGCTAGTGTCCACTTCATGGGTGCCTTGTTTTTATCCTTTAACAAGACTAGCTGTCCTGCCTTGAGATTGGACCTTCACTTGATTCCATTTTGAGCGGTTCTGCAAATGAGTAAGATATTCCACGCTCCAACGGTTCCAGAAATTAGCTCTAAGTTTTTGAATTAAAGTCCATCTAGAAGACAAGGTCAAAGAATCTACAGAATTATTCGGTTCTGGTATCGACAAAAGTGGAGCTCCTATTAGGAAATGACCTGGAGTCAAAGGCTGAAGATCTGTTGGATCAGCCGAAATAGGTGATAGAGGTCGAGAGTTCAAGCAGGCTTCTATTTGTGTAATTAATGTATACAGTTCTTCAAAGTTTAAAATTGTCGTTTTCGCGACCTTTGTCAAAATTCTCTTCATTGATTTTATATTAGCCTCCCATAATCCACCAAAATGCAGGAAGGAAGGAGGAAAAAATCTCCATTTTATACTTTCTTCGGAACTAAAGCGCTGAATAGGATCCGATCTACAAATTCTAAAGAGTTTATCAAGAGCATTCTTCGTTCCCTTGAAGTTCGTAGCGTTATCACTCCAAACAGTGGATGGTTTAGATCGTCTGGCAATAAACCTCTAAGACATGCTAGAAAGGCTTCAGTAGAGAAATCCGATACTACTTCTAGATGAATAGCCTTTGTACTAAAGCAAATAAATATCGTGTTGTATGATTTAAACGTAACTCTAGATCTTTTCAAATTAGGCTTGGTGATAACTGGACCTGCAAAGTCCAGTCCTATTTTTTCGAATGGTCTAGTTATTACAACTCTATCTCTAGGTAAGTCTCCCATCATTTGGTTTATGGTTTGTTCCTTGTTCGAAAGCACGTCATGCATTTACTTATAACGTGTCTATCTTGTCCAGAAGGTATCCAGTATAATTGTCTAATAAGAGAAAGTGTTGTTTGAACGCCTGAATGAAGAGATTTTTTGTGATAATAATCTATGAGTAATTCAGTGAAATGATGTCTTTTGGGTAAAAGAAGTTGATGTTTTTGGTCTTCTGAAAGATTGGTCTCCCACCAACTCGTAAAAGTTCATCTTCATCCAGAAATACATTTAAGGATAAAACCTTACTATTACTTGGAACTGAGCGTTTCGACTGCAGGCACTTAATTTCAGGTTGAAATTCAGAATGTTATACACATTTGACTAGCACCTTTGTTGCATTCTGTAGTTCAGAAGCACTCAAAAAACTTTCTTTTCTTAATGGTGGATTGGTTCTACAGTTGTTTGCAAACCTTAAACACCACGCAGTAGTTCTAATCAATTTGCTGAATGACGAATACCTTTTAATGAATTCGTTCTTAATGGAATTTTCACCTGTGACTGTTGAGTTCACTACAGCTCCCCTTCGAAGTTCAAGCTCTTCATGATCCTTGAAATCTCTTACTGATTCTGCAAGTTTAGGCCACGAATCTATGCTCTGTAATAGCCACTTAGGTCCATGCCACCACGTTACTATTTCGTAGTTCAGACAACGTTATTCCTTTCGTGGAATTTGTTTTTGTTCCTCTGGTCAGCATATCAGCTGGATTTTCATCTCCAGGGCAATAATTCCAGGACTCAGGTGATGTTTTCTCTCGTATTTCCATTACTCGATGTTGGATGAATGGCTTCCATTTATTTAAATCGCCCTTTATCCAGTGTAACGTAACAGAAGAGTCTGACCAAAAATATACATTCATCTGGAGTCTTTTCTCTAACTGTTCTTTGACATTCGAGGCTAATCTTGCTCCGATGAGCGCCCCCATCAGCTCTAATCTTGGAAGGGACAGCTTCTTCAGTGGAGCTACTCTGGTTTTGGAAATGACAAAACTACTTCCTATTTCACTGTCCATCGTGACGTATCGCAGGTATATCACAGCTCCATATGCCTTCTGACTTGCGTCGGTAAAGCAATGCATTTGAATCTCTCTCAATTCAGACTTGTTAGTCTTTCGGAAGTAATGTCGCGGAATGTTTACTTCCTGAATCGCTGACAGTTCATTAATCCATTTTGCACCTTTGTTGCATTCTGTAGCTCAGAAGCACTCAGTTCCCTTTAGAAAAATTTCAGCAAAATTCTGTATGATTGTCAAATTTTACAAATTTTATTACCCAAATGATGTTGGACAATTTAATTTTACAAATTTACAAATTTGTCAAATTTTGTATTTTCTTGCATTGCTGGCAAATTCAACAAGCTGATATTTTAAAACTAAGTATACGGCAAAAAAATATCATGATTTGTGTATAAAAACCATTCGAATACAAAAAAATAGAACACATATGAAAATGGTGGTGTTGCTTGACTTAACAACTGTTATGAGCGTTGTTGCCAGAGTCTGGCACTTTCTGAAAATTTGGCTCTTTTATTATGATAGTTGCAAAGGTACATATGTAAAAATAATATTAATGCTATCCACAAAGTATTCTCTTTCAGATTATGTATAAAATGTTCTTATTAGCATGAAACAAATTTTCTGTATTCAAGTTTAGAACAGAAATTTAGTGAGAAGTTCCGAAGGGCTTTGGTAAACCAGTCTGTGGGGGTGTTGGTGCACCACCTATGGACAATTGCTGTGTCCTTCATGTTGTCAAGCAAGGTGTAGTCCGAGGTCTACTCACTTTGCATACACATTTGTCATCTCCAGATCATCATGCACAATCGCCTGCAATGTTCCTTGCGTAAGCCCTGTCTCTTCCTGCATGTTGTTGAATGTTATGCGCCTGTTCGCCATGATCAAATCCACGTGCCTTCATGCAACCTTCAGCCACATTTGCTACTGTATGTGATGTTGCTGGTTGTCCCATGCTGATACCTTTGGTTACAGTCTCCACTCCACTTCTGAACTTGGCTAACCAACGGGATACAGTATGGCTTGAGGGTGCTTTGTTTCTGCACGCCAACACCATGCAACAATGGATCTCACTACCCTCTATCCCTTCCCTCCATAGGAATTACACTGTCCAACACTGACCATGATAATCACCTTCCATCATTGCTGTTCACACTCTCACTGATGACGGTGAAAGGGACGGGTGCTGATTTAATACCGTTCGCTTGCGGCCAGCTCCATCTATGCATTATGAGTGGCTCACGCCCCCTTGTGTCTATTTCACTTGTTTTCTCTTCACATACTGTAACAGTTTCGTTATGAGACCCATTGTGTCAATCATTTCTGTATGATCCAAGTATTTCACACGGTGATTAAAAAATAAAAAAGCATGTAGAGGGCCAAAATAAGCAGATTTGTATGAAAGTGGCATGTTGAGGTGGTGCAGAGTGCTGTTAAGTGGTAGATAAAAAGAATTATGCTAGCTTAAATCAGCATTTCCTGTGATATGCATCACTACATGAATATGAACCTTGCTAACATACTGAGGTTGCAGCTAAACAGATACTCAAAAGAGACACACAGAATAATTCCTAAGTAGTTTCTTTGAGCTGCTGCTTTTTTCTGTCCTTAGCCCCACAGATAAAATGAATATCAGCAAGCTCTACATTCATACAGAGATGCATATCACTCAAAATCCGCATGAAAAACGACAACTTATCACTCAACAGCATGTTACACCACTTCAACGTGCCATATCCACATATACATTCTTTTACAAAGTCTGTTTACTTTGGACCCTCTATCTGCCTTTATGAGTTCGCCATATATTTAATCAGCTTAACAGTCCACAAAGTTCTAAACTTATTCAATTCAGAAGCATTACTTTTATTATTTTTGCAGGACTTGCAACAAAGTATCAGAAAATAATGAGAAATAATCAGATCTGGTCTGGCAAACAAGAGACGAAAAGTTAATTTTGTGTAACAAGCATCACTTCTTTGTATTTTAACTTTTTGCACATATTTGAATTATGTAATCAATTTAATAAATTGTTAAGTATACACTACCATATAAATATTATAATGTTACTGTTATAATATTGCTGTTATTATCCTTTAATATAATTTAAGAGATTAACAAGTTTAAAAAATTTATGAAAAGTATAATTTTTAACTTTAAACAAGAAACTAAATTTAACTTATTTATACTTTAATGGCCATAATACAAGTATTACAAGAATGTGACCACCAGTTATGTATGCATGAAATATAAAATGTGATTCATGTTTTTATTCTTTATAATCCCTATATGTTTTTAATTTATGTTCACTATTAGCCTAATCTCTAAAAATAACTATATTATTCATTTTCATCGCTACATTCAAAATTGTTAGACAGGCTGTTTCAAAAATTTTCATGACACTTGTAAAATATTTTACACGATAGCAAAAATAATATATGTTTTACGTTTTTGGTCTAAACTTAATGTCAGGGATGAGATAAATAGCAAAGCAATAAAAACAAGTGGTCATGCAAGTTTTGAAACATGCAATTTGATTTTAACAATTATTGTACAGTACTCTGCAAACCATAGTGGAACAAAACTGCATCTAACTGTTGAGTAACTAGTAAAGGATAAAAAGTATTTTAGATCAAAAATACAACTTTATTCATTTTAATTTTGAAAAATAACAAAAACTACATTATTTATGAGATGACCCAACATTTTATTCAAGAAATTATACATATGTACAAGATTATTAAATGTAATGTAACTGCTTCTTATAATACATACAGAATTAACAGTCAAAATTCTGATATTCAGAAATAATGAAGATTGAAGATAGTCTCTCATAAGGGTCCCTGTGATAAAAATTCCTCATGTATGCAACCCAAATATTATTTGGTCCAGCTGACTTTTGGTATATCATAATGTTCTGTTAAAGAATCAAGATGACGGTTGAATTCCTATAAAAAAAAAGTTTTGTAAGGACAATAACTTAACCACCATGAATGTATAATTTTATCTAGTATAAAAATGTGAAATGCAGATAATTACATGCATTAGTGAATTCAGATACTCATTTTTGCATCTACTGTTTACATGTGTTTTTATGATGTGAAGAAACGTAAAAATTATAATCCATCAAAACAAAAATTTTTACAAACCCACAAGCCACAATATACTCTGTGCTTCCAAAAGTCTTTATCAAGCCTTTATTTTTGCTAACGTTGGTCAGAGACACATACTTCCAGTTACAAAAATGTTTTAAATGACACAAATATTCATATTTTGAATTTATTATACTTTTAAATTTAAGACTATTAAATCTAACCTTTTACAGGTTAGATGGACTATATACATGTATTTAGAATGGTTTTACACTCATTACAAAAAAAAAATAAAAATAAAACACAAAAAATTTGACTCCAATATGACAAAAATTGACTGAGATATTTAATTTTAAAATGTGGCATATCAGATGTTATTTCCAACTTGCTTTGAGGAGTCATTTAGTAAATAAATTAGATAATTACATTGATTTTGTTCCCCCTTAAATACCATATTTAATAGAATTATTATTATATTTATCTACTAGCAATTTTTATTAATTTTCTAGTAGCATTCTTTGGTTTATAATTTTGTTACAAACTGGTCTGCCAAAAGAATTTTTGCACAGGTAATTAATAATTATATTATTAATATTATGACATTTTAATTGATAATCTTTATCTAACAATCATGCAAAAAAATTCATTAAACAAGAAATGTTTTTATTTTTCAATTCATGCAAATAATGCATTAATAAGTTGTCTATGTGCTAATATTAAAGCCTGCCAGTTTTTTCTAGATACAAATTTTGTGAATAAGATATCTTTTTTTTAAAAAAATTATATTGATCAATATTTTTTTACAATAATCTGATAAAAGTGCTCTCCTCACTTCAAAAATCTGTCAGCATCAAAAAACCAATTTTCTAAGCTGATATTTCATTTTTAGTTACAATTGCAGATATTTGGCTCTTCAATTTGTACCTGGCCAATGAATATGATATTCCACTTTAAAATGAAATATCTTGGTAAATTTTTGTTCAGACCTTTAATATTTTATTTTTTATAATGAGTATAATATTTCCCTAACTATAAGGGAGATTAAGGAGAACATATAAAAGGTTAAATCTCCCCCCCTTTTTTTTAAAATATTGTAACATAACTATTTGTCAAAATAAAACTTTAGTTACAACCAGATATTTATAATTAAGAATTTCTTCGGTAGAAGGATATTAATTATTGTATAATAGTCGCTAATCCCATGCCATAATCTCCTATTTTATTTTTTTTATAATGAAAGTAAAAAATTTTCATTGCCAAAAAATGTTTTTAATCCACATTTTACACTGTGAAAATTCAAATTTTATCAGCTTTCAGATGTTCAGTTAGAATCTGAAGAAGTAGAGTGCAAGCCCCCCCCAAACCCCATAAAACCATTTGCATGGATTCTCCTTATGAATCAGTCACATTTGCAAAAAGTGCACACATTTCTTCCTATAAATTTATGGAACATCCAAGATATTAAAAAATCTCAGAGAACTCTGGAATCTAGGCATCTCCAAATTCCAATATGACGAAACAAGAAGTTTACGAGGAATGTAGTCCAGCAGTGGCCCAATAATTAAAAGCACAAAACACTGGTATGTTTGTGCCAGTTTCTTCTCTTAGCAATGGAATGGGTTGGGTACATGAGATTTTTCTGTAACCTTTCTCATCTGTAACACAAACACCAGTTTCTCTTAAAAAAATCATTTATGAAGGAACCCCTTCCTACATACTATTGTGCTTTATCATAATTCAGTAAGTCAATCGATCTTATGAAAGATGTCACTTTCTGTAAATACATATATTAATAATTTTTAATACAGTCAAAAGTCGTTAATCCGGACTTGTCGGGACTTCGGCGATTCCGGATTATAGATCATCAGTTTAAATCTGGTAAGATGGCATGCAGAAATTACAAAATTAAAAAATATGAAACCGTAATTTATGAAATAAAGAACAATTATGATCTAAAGGGTATCAAAATTTACAAAAAGAAAAAGCTTAATATTTATTTGTTTACTTTATTAAACATTTCTTTCAATGTAAGTTGTTTCGTTTTATGTGATAATACTTTCTCTTTAATTCTATTAAACAGACATAATTTCTAGTTTAGTTCCAAAGTTCCGCTGTTCAAGTCCTATAATTGCTGTGTCGAGAATACCGACTAATTTAACAATCGAAATGTTTTCGTTTCTAATAACCTCTCTGTCACTTTCTTCACTATTGGAGCAAATTATAATGATAAGGAACTTGATTTAAATCATATCAAAGGAGTACATCGAGATGAAATAGTACATTTACTAAGGAATTATAAGCCAAATAAAATAAAAACATCTGCCCTGAAGATAAGGATAGTGCTGACAGATCAACTTCCAATTCATTGCGCGCCGCGGCGTTGGCGTTTCTCCCTCCACACACTGCCGCAGAGCAGCGTGAAATTGATAAACAGATTTCGAATTTCAAAACATACCTTCGCTTTATAGATCATTTACTATTAGTAAATATATATCAGAAATTCTATTTGACATAATCGAAAGTTCAAGCTTACTTTTATAAAACTGCTCTAACAGTCTGCAAAAAATAATAAGCCGGATCCAATTCGAAGATTAAGGACCAACGCTATCTGCAACATTAACTGAATTAGATAATTTTAGCTTAGCTTATACTGACCATTATACATTAAACGCGCATGCGTAAACGTATTATGCGCTTGCGCACATGTATATTCGCAGCTGTAAAGGTCTTACGCGCATGCGTAAATGCTACGCGTGCACAGAAAGTTTGTAGTTTTGAGGTCCGAATTAACGACTTTTCACTGTAAAATGATGCATTCAAAATAGTGTGTAATCCTATCAAAGTATAAAAAAATCTGCAAACCCAAAAAATGCTGCAAATTACATAAAGACGTTTATTGTTTTATCAGTTAAATAGTATTACATAGCTGCCAAATCTCCTGTCTATTATCACATCTCTCAGTTTTTAATTTTTAGCCTCTTATTTCATCATGTTACAGACACAACTTCATTTTTTCACTAGTCAAAATACAGAACACATAAATAGCTGATATGACCACATGAAGTATTAGGGGTAAGGAAGGAGGTTTCTCATCAAAAATATCAAATCTGCATATATACTGAAGTGAAGGAATCGTAAACATAATCAAGAAAAGAGAGTGAATCATAAACATAACCTAGAAGAGCAAGATGTTTAATTTTGCTTTTTGCTGCATTGCCTGTACATGCCAATGCATTTTAAATTTACAGTTAATTATTAATTAATTTTATTATTTGGCATTAATTATTTATTTTATTTTCATTGTGTTTAGAAATGCTTTGATGACTAAAAGCTTTCCCTCCATATATTTAGAATTTTGACAACAAAGTTTAAGAAAATTACAAAATGAAATTAGCCAAAAAAAACATAAAATTTAGAATACCTAATTAAATATTAATATATTTTAGTCGTCTGGCTTTTAACTGCACCGGGAAAATGGCTGAAGGGAACACCAAACGTTAAATTTACAAACTGCGTAGAATTTTACTCTGCATAAAAAAACGTTATTACGTATAAAAAAATTACAATGAAATAAGCAATATCCTTTAATACAAATATTAATTATCCTAATAAAAAAATCATGCAAAACTTTTCAATATCTTACAAACAAAACATGACATTAAAGCAACTCAAAAAAGATAAAATTCCGCGCAGAATTTTACTCTGCAGAACAACTTTAACAAAAAAAAAAATAAATAAATATTAAAAATGTATTATATATATGTAGTAGGGGAGTTGAAGATGCTAAATAACAGTTCCAACTTTGTTTTCACACCACAGAACATTAATAAAGATAATCAGAAAAAGTACAAATTAGATTAAATACAAGTGCCGTTTGATACAAAGAGGATTATGTATAGCTTTTACCAGTCTTTCACTAACCAATAGTGGCCTACTCGCATTTGCTGATGTATTA